GAGTAGATGGGTCTCGAACTGGCGTCCATATGGGATGCTGGTGCTTTAGGCCAGGGCGTTAACCCACTGTGCCACAGCCCTGGCCCCTGCCCCTTCATTCTTGATAGTGTTAATTTATATCTTCTTCTTTTTTTTTAAATATTTATTCGTGTATTTGAGAAGTAGTTATAGACAGGGAGAGAGAGAGACAGAGAGAAACATCTTTCATCTGCTGGTTCACATCCAAATGGAGCTGGGCCAATCTGAAGCCAGGAGCCAGGAGCTTCTTCTGAGTCTACCACGCGGGTGCAGGGGCCCAAGTGCTTGGGCCACCTTCTAATGCTTTCCCAGGGAGCTGGATCAGAAGTGGAGCAGCCAGGACTTGAATCAGTGCCTGTATGGGATGCTGGCACCACAGGTGGAGGCTTAGCCTATGACACCACAGTGCCGGCCCCTATACCTGCTCCTTTTATTTTGATCAGCCTGGCTACATGTTTTTGAATTATATTGATCTTTTCAAAGTGCCTGCTTTTGATTTCACTGATTTTTCTCTATTTTTCTGTTTTCAGTATCATTGGTTTCTGTCCTCATATTATTGTTGGTTATTCATTTTTGTTAATTTTGAGTTTAACTTATTCCTGCTGCTTATGGTAAAAGTTTGGGTAATTCTTGATCATGTTAACATAATATTTGATTATATAAATTTGCAAGAACTTCTTTAGCTCCATTTCTTAAATTTTGATGTCATTTTTATTGTCATTCAGTTGAAATATGTTCTCATTTTTCCTTCTGACTTCTCTTTTACCTATGGGTTATTTAGAAATCTTTTGTTGAGGGGTGGCGCCGCGGCTCACTAGGCTAATCCTCCGCCTAGCGGCACCGGCACACTGGGTTCTAGTCCTGGTTGGGGCGCCGGATTCTGTCCCCATTGCCCCTCTTCCAGGCCAGCTCTCTGCTGTGGCCCAGGAGTGCAGTGGAGGATGGCCCAAGTCCTTGGGCCCTGCACCCCATGGGAGACCAGGAAAAGCACCTGGCTCCTGCCTTCAGATTAGCGTGGTGCGCCGGCTGCGGCGGCCATTGGGGGGTGAACCAACGGCAAAGGAAGACCTTTCTTTCTGTCTCTCTCTCTCTGTCCACTCTGCCTGTCAAAAAAAAAAAAAAAAAAAAAAAAAGGAAATATTTTGTTGAATTTCTAAATAGTTGGGCTTTTCTCAGATATCCTTCTGTTATTGATTTCTGGTTGATTTTATTGCACCAAGGGTATATACTCACATACATTTCAGGTTTTTAAAATTTTGTTGAGCTTGTTTTTATGACATAGAGTATGCTCTGACTTGGAGTATGTTCCATGTGTACTTGAAGAGGATGTATTGCTCTTGTGTACTGTGGGGGACAGAAAGGTGGGACATCTTTTCTGCTTATCATAAAGGTTAAGACCAACATTGCTGTTTAAAAAAAAACCAGGTTAATAAGAGGAAAACATGATAGATTTGTTTATTCCAAGTTTTAGTGACATGAGAAATCAAGGCTCAAGACCCGGGGAAAACTGTTTTATGCTTAGGTTCAATACAGAATGGAAGCCTTGTAGAAATGTGAATGGACAAAAGAATATGATCTAATGGTAACAGACTGATAGAATGGAAGAAGGGGATTAACACCCATCTGTTTAGATTATTCTTGGCATCTCTGTTTTTCTTCCTCCAAAGTATGGAGCAAGACTCCTCTGGAATGACAGAGTAGGTCAAAGAAGTTCTGTATGGCTAGCTTTAATGCAGAAATATGGGAAAGCTCACAGTAATGCTAGTAGTTTCTATGACTTGCTTGAGGAAGAGAAATTCCAGTTTATGTTGGTTACTTTTGATGAAGAAACACAGCCTGGAACAGAAGATCAGTGAGAGTCCTTCCAGTCTCTTTTAGTTCAAAGTACTCAACATACCAAAGCACAGTTTGGGATATTGTTTTCTTTTTTATTATTATTATTATTAATTTGACAGGTAGAGAGTTATATATATATATATAGAGAGAGAGAGAGAGAGAGAGAAAGTCTTCCTTCCGAAGGTTCACTCCCCAAATGGCCACTATGATCAGCACTGTGCCGATCTGAAGCCAGGAGCCAGGTGCTTCTCCCTGGTCTCCCATGAGGGTGCAGGGCCCAAGCATTTGGGCCATCCTCCACTGCCCTCCCGGGCCACAGCAGAGATCTGGACTGGAAGAGGAGCAACCGGGACTAGAACTGGTGCCCACATGGGATTCTGGAGCTGCAGGTGGAGGATTAACCAAGTGAGCCTCGGCGCTGGCTGGGGATATTGTTTTCTGACCTGCAACAGTGGAGTGTTCTCTAAGTGTCAACTAGACAGGGAGAAGGAGAGACAGAGGGAGAAAGAGAGATTTTCATCTGCTAGTCACTTCCCAAATGGCTGCGATGGCCAGGCTGAAGCCAGAAGCCAGGAACATCTTCTGGGTCTCCCCTATGGGTAGCAAGGGTCCAAACACTTGAGCCATCTTCTGTCACCCTTCCGAGGCCATCAGCAGTGAGCTGGGTCAGAAGTGGAGCAGCCAGGATGTGAACCAGCACCCATGGGAGTTACCTCACAGGTGGTAGCCTAACCACCTTTGCCATGTCTCTAGCTTCAGGCTTCTTGTAGTTCTTACCTTTGTTCCTCTTATAAAAAGTGTCTCTTTTCTCTGGCTGCCTTCAAGATTTTTTCTTTTTTCTTTCTTCTTTAGCAAATCAAATGTGATGTATCTTTGAGTGATTTATGTTTATTTGGCTGTGGCATTTTTCCCTTCGTGGGTGCTCAGAACCTTTTGGAATATAGAATTTGATCTCTAGAACATATGCAAATATATGCAGATTGAACAACATTAGAAGAAGTCAAAAAATTTCTGGAAACAAATGAAGATGACAATATGACATATCAACTTAAGGGATACAGCAAAAGCAGTGTTAAGAGAAAAGTTTTTATCAGTTGGTGCCTACATCAAGAAATTGGAAAGGCTCCAAATAAATGAGCTATCAGTATATCTCAAGGACCTAGAAAAAAACAGCAAACCAAACCCAAAACTAATAGGAGAAAAGAAATAATTAAAATTAGAGAATAAATAAACAAAATTGAAACCGAAAGAACAATACAAAAGATAAGTGAAATTAACAGCTGTTTTTTCAAAAAAAATAAACAAAACTGATACATCATTTTCACAACTAACAAATAAAAGAGGGAGAAGACCCAAATCAATAAAATTAGAGAAGAAAAAGGGAACATAATGATAGATACCATGGAAATAAAAAGAATCATCAGGAATTACTGCAAAGAGTTGTATGCCAACAAATCCGGAAACCTAGAAGAACTGGATAGATTCCTGGACACATACAACCTACCTAAATTGAACCATGAAGACATAGACTAATAACCAAGATGGAAGTTGAATTAGTAATAAGACCTCCTAAGAAAGAAAAGTCCAGGGCCAGACAGTTTCACTGCCGAATATTGCCAAACTTCTAAAGAAGAGCTCCAATTCTTTTCAAGCTATTGAAAACATTTGAAAGGGAAAGAATCCTCCCAAATTCCTTTTATGAGGCCAGCATGACCTTAATTCCTAAACCTGAAAAAGATACAGCAGAGAAAGAGAACTACAGACCAATTTCTCTGATGAACATAGATGCAAAAATCCTCAACTAAATATTAGCTCATTGAATCTAACAACACCTCAGAAAGATCATTCACCTGGACCAAGTAGGATTTATCCCTGGTATACAGGGATGTTTCAACATTTGCAAATCAGTTGATGTGATACATCACATTAACAAACTTAAGAACAAAAATCATATGATTATCTCAATAGATGCAGAGAAAGCATTTGATAGAATTCAGCATTCCGGGACAGGCGCTGCGGCATAGCTTGTAAAGCTGCCACTTGCAGTTCCGGCATCACATGGGGGTGCTGGTTCCAGTCCCAGCTGCTCCACTTCTGATCCAACTGTCTGCTGTGGCCTGGGAAAGCAGTGGAAGATGGCCCAAGTTCTTGGGCCCCTGCACCCTCATGGGAAACCCGGAAGACACTCCTGGCTTTGGAACGGCCATTGTGGTCAATTGGGGAGTGAACCAGCGGGGGAGGACCTCTCTCTCTTTCTCTCTGCCTCTCCTCTCTCTGTGTAACTCTTTCAAATAAATAAACAAATCTTTAAAAAAAAAAAAAAGAATACAGCATCCTTTCATGATGAAAACCTTAAGCAAATTGGGTATAGAAGGAACATTGCTCAACATAATGAATGCAATTTATGACAAACCCATGACCAGCATCCTTTTGAATGGAGAAAAGTTGGAAGCTATAGCTAATACATATCAGTGAACAATTCAGTGGTTTTTAGCGTGTTATGCAGGTGTGCAGCCATCACAGCAAATGAGTTTTGAGCATTTTCATCATCTCATTTCATCCTCTCATTCTTAAGACTGTTTTGTCTATCCTTGTTGCTGGAATTTCTGTATAAACTTTAGGGTTAGCTTGCCAGTTTTTGCAGAAAAAAGTTCATTGTAATTTTAGTAGAGGTTGCAATGATCTGTAGATCAATTTGAGGAATATTGCCATCTTATCCATACTGTCTTCATTCACATAGGATGTTTTTCCATACATTATATCTAGTTTCTTTCAACCACGTTTTATAGTTTTTAGTGTATTGGTCTTGTACGTCTTTTGTTGAATATATTCCCAAGTATTTTATTCTTGTTTGGCTTGTTGATAAGTATATAGAAATACAGTTGATTTTTGTATATTGATCTTATTTTCATGTGTTTTAATGATTTTTTAATTCTAAGAAGATAATTATCAGATATTATTATTTTGCACTTCATTGTGCTATATGATGAATTTAAAGTGAGATAAGATAAAATATCTGAGATTGAAATCTATGAGTTTTGATTTTAGGTTTTTCAACCTGTGCATTTAGCCAAACTCCTGTTTTCATCAAGTTAATCTTAAGTAATTGGTAAAAATTAATAATTGGTTTTCTTTTCCACTTTTAGTGTTAAGTGTTTACAAAAGACAGTGAAAGATTCTTATCACATAATGTGTAGACTTTGTGCCTATGAACTTGAAGTTTGTGCAAAATGTGGAAAGAAAGAAGACATTGTTATTCCGTGAGTATTTCCACTCATATTTCAATTTTACTCTTAATAATTGATAGATGAATTTTCTTTTAATGAGACATTCAACAATTCCTAGTCTTAAGTAGCATTATATCACACTAATGTTGACTTTTTTCCACTTGAAAGGAAAAAACATCATAATTATTCAAAAAGTTTCTATCATTGCAATAAAAATAAAAGTATATTTTAAGGTGATAAAATATTTTCTAGGAGATTCACATTCATTACAAAGGGATTATAACAGCATTTCAGCAACATGTATCATGTATTAATTTCTTTGCATCTACTTCAGTTAAAATAATGTTATAGTTGGTTGGATCTTGAGTTAAGTTAGTCTTCAGGGATCTTTTTGTCTATGCTGACTTCATGAGGCTTCTATTAATAATGAAATGTAGTGATAAATGTCTTTTGAATCTGTATAGATAATGAAAGCCTGGGAAATAATTATTTTTTTCTTCTATCTTTAGATTTAACAAAGAACCTGAAAAGTCTGAAAATATTGACAGTAATCTAAGTTCCAACTGTAGAGGAAACTGCAGAAGAAATGAAGAAAGCGATGATGATTTAGATTTTGATCTTGATTTAGATGACACAGAAGATTAACAACCCAGTTGATTAATGGAACTACATTAAAAGTTAGTCTTTGAGAACATGAGATTCTGACTAGCTTTTGACTTTGTTAGTTTCACAAAAGATGCTTTGAAGTCTTAATGAGTAAGTCAGAAAAAGTTGTAGGAAATAGAATTTGTACATGAACAGTGTAAGTTGTATATGATATTTGAATAATTGTAAAACTTTGAGAGTTTTCTTATAATAAATTATTAAATTGAATATACTACAATATCTACTGCAGTAAGAATTGGAGTATCATGATGTAATTCATGGGAATTATTTTGGAGAATATATTTCCTAATAAAGAATTAAACAATATTTAGAATTGATGACTGTGTAAGAACTATTATGAAAAATGAGATGACATTATCTTATTGGCCTCAAAAATGGTTCTGGGCTAAGTACCTGTTGATAGATTGATCTCATGTAAATGGCCCACATAGCAAAAACCCATGACATTTGCTTGTTACAAAGCTAAGCATTTTATGTTTCCATAAAAGTGTCTAACAGGGACAGCCTTGTGGCATAATGGGTGAAGCTGTCACCTGCAACACCAACATCCCATATGGGTGCCAGTTTGTGTCCCGGCTGCTCCACTTCCAATTCAGCTCCGTGCTAATGACCTGGGAAAAGCAGTGGAAGATGGCCCAAGTGTTTGGGCCCTGGCCACCATGTGGGAGATGCGGATAAAGCGCTTGACTCCTGGCTTTGGCCTATCCCAACCCTGACCCAAAGTTGTGGCTATCTGGGGAGTGAATGAACAGATGGAAGATCTCCCCCCCTCCCCTTTCTGTCCCTCTCTCTCTAACTCCTCTGCCTTTCAAATAAATAAATAAATCTTTAAAAACGTTGTTTAACAAATGTATCCAAATTTTTCTGGTAAAGTATTTTTATATATTTTACCATATTATTTGTTATCTTTTCCTCTTGTGAAAGATACATACAGAAAAAGATCCCTAGAGTTTGTATGTATCGTTTAATGAATATTTGTAAAGGAAAGTTCATATCTTTACACTCAGATGAGGAAACTGCCAGCACCAGCAGCCCCCTGGGAAGCTCTTTCTGTGTCAGGTTCATCTGTTTCCCATGCTGGGCACTGTCCTGAACTTTGTTTCTGTTTCCTTTATCTACTCTACTCCCCATGTTTATACCTAAACAGTATAACATTTTACCGCATTTTCTTTATATTTTGGCTTATATGGGTGTGTGTGATTTAATTTACTGAATCACTTGAAAATAAACAGCAATAATTTTGAACACTTAAACCATGTAAATTATTTTGTATCTGTTCTTGTTTTCATTGTTACAGAATTTTTGAGATTGATCCATGTTGTTAAAAGAGCTACAATTGATTTTTCCCTGCTGTGTATTATTCTGTGCATTAATATATTATAGTTTGTTTATCTTTTGTAATGTTCAAAGATATTTGAATTGTGGCCGGCGCCGCGGCTCACTAGGCTAATCCTCCGCCTTGCGGCGTCGGCACACCGGGTTCTAGTCCCGGTCGGGGCGCCGGATTCTGTCCTGGTTGCCCCTCTTCCAGGCCAGCTCTCTGCTGTGGCCAGGGAGTGCAGTGGAGGATGGCCCAAGTGCTTGGGCCCTGCACCCCACGGGAGACCAGGAGAAGTACCTGGCTCCTGCCTTCAGATCAGCGCGGTGTGCCAGCCGCAGCACGCCGGCCGCGGCAGCCATTGGAGGGTGAACCAACGGCAAAGGAAGACCTTTCTCTCTGTCTCTCTCTCTCACTGTCCACTCTGCCTGTCAAAAAAAAAAAAAAAGATATTTGAGTTGTTTCAAGTTTTTCTGTAACAAACAATAGTGGTGTAAACATTGTTACATATACACATTTCTGTTGTGAGTTTTTCTAGCAGTGGTAGAAGGAATCATGTACATGCATCTTCAGTTTTACTATCTAATGTGGAACTGTTTTTCCAGAGAGGCCGTTATCCCCTTTCCCACAACAATATATTCCAGTTTCAGTGCTCTGCATCCTTTCTAACACTTGACAACAGACTTCTAGATTTTTACAATTTGAGTTTGTGCAATGATCTCTCTCTTACTAATTTATGTTTCTCTGATTACTAATACACTAAAGCCCCTTTTTGTATTTGGCTTTAGTGTATTAGTAATCAGAGAAACATAAATTGGTTAATAGATAATACTAGGAAATGATTTTTGTTAGCTCTAGTAATGTTACTTTAGAAATGTATACTGAATTATTTTTAAAGGATTTATTTATTTATTTGAAACATTTACCGATATACAGGGACAGAGAGAGATTTTTTGTTTTTTAGTTTACTCCCCCAAATGTCTGCAACCATTGGGGATGGACAAGGTTGAAGCTAGAAGTCTGAAACTCTATCCGGTTCTCCTACATGGGTGGCAGGGGCTAAGTACTTGGGCCATCTTCTGGTGCTTTCCTAGGTTAATTAGTAGGGAACTGGATTGGAAGTGGAGCAGTTGGGACTCCAACCAGCAGTTATATTCTTTGCCAACATTGCAGCTGGTAGGTACCTGCTGTGCCACAACAACCAGACCCCATACTGAATTATTTGTGGGTGTAATGTCAGTTTACTTTAAAATAATTCAACATAAAAAGTGATGATATACAAAACATTTTATTAACATAAAAATATGTTGCCTAGGAATAATCAAAACGTACGCAAAGTAGGACAGGTATCATGGCTTAGCATATCCCATATGGGTGCTGGTTCAAGTCCTTGCCGCTCTACTTCCTGGATTTATCCAGCTCCCTGCTAATGGCCTGGACAGGCAGTGGAGGATGTCCAGCATACTTGGACACCTGCAACCACATGGAAGACCTGGAGGAAGCTCCTGACTCCTGGCTTTGGCCTGGCTCAGCCTTGGCTGTGTGGCCATTTGGGGAGTGAACCAATGGATGGAAGATTTCTATCTCCTCTCTGTTATTCTGCTTTCAAATAAAAGAAAAAGGGGGGGAGGGGCTGTGGTGCAGCAGGATACACTGCCTGCACATCCCATATTGGAGAAGCCTGGATTTGATCCAGTTTCCTGCTAATGCACTTGGGAGATGATGGATGGTAGTCCAAGTACTTGGGTTCCTGCCATCTATGTGGGAAACCAGAAAGGAATTCCTGGCTCCCAGCTTCAGCCTGGCCTAGCCCTGGCTGTTGAGGGCATTTGGGGAGTGAACCCAAGGATAGAAGCTTTCTGCCTGCCTGTCCCTTCTCCCTCCCTCTCCCTTTTTCTCTCTCACTTTGTCTTTAAATAAGTCTTTTTAATAAAAGTATCTAAGAACTGTTTACAAATATATGAAATTTTATTCAAGGTGTTAATGAAAATGGAGACTAACATAAATGCGGAGAGATACCATGTTAGTGATATAGAAGTCTCAATATTCTAAGCTTATAATCTGAAAGGAAATTTCCTACATAAATTTATCTGGCCTCTTTTTGCATGTAAATTTATTTTCTGGACTGTTTAATTTTGTGATTAAGAAGCCAACTTGGCATTTGGCCTTGCAGTTAAGATTACTCACATTCCATATTAGAGTGCCTAGGTTTGAGTCTTGGCTGTGCTTCCAATCCCAGCTTCTTGCTAATGCATACTTTAGGAGACACTTAGTGATATTTCAAGTGGTTCCGTCTCTGCCACTCACATGAAACCTAGAATAACTTCCCAGCTTCCAGCTTCAACCTAGCCCAGTCCTGGCCATTGCAGTGGGTGTTTGGGAATGGGAGCTCTCTTTTAATCTCTCTCTCTCTCTGGTTAAAAAGAAATCTAATATAAATTTGTTTCCCATGTGAATGTGTTGTTACAGTTCTTCAGATTACCAAGAGAAAATTTTAACAGAGTATCACCTCATGACTTACAAGTATACTAATAGCTTTATTTCCTTCTTTAGTGTTAAGAAAGGTTGTTTTATAAACAGACTTGATTGCTTAGTTCCTATATATTTCTTTAGGAATTGCCCTTTTTTATTTATAAACTATTTTTGTAATATTCACTTATTTATTTTCATTTGTTTGAAGGTCAAGAGAAAAAGAGAGAGACATCTTCCACCCACTGGTTCACTCCTCAAATGCATGCACCAGTTAGGGTTGTGTCTATCCAAAACCAGGAGCCAGGAATTCCACCTAGGTCTCTCACATGGGTGATAGAGACCCAAATTATTGGCTGCTTCCCGTGTGCACGTTAAGAGGAAACTGAATCAGAAGTATTGAGTACCTGGAACTTGAACTAGGGACTCTGATATGGGATATGGGTGTCCCAAGTGGTGGCTTAAGCCACTGAGCCACAATGCCCACCTTTAACTTTTTTTTTTAAAGTCATATCAATGAGATGAAGTTTTGTTTTTTAGTATAAATATATATTTATACTAATTAGCTTAATGTAATGTTTGTTGCATCTTGATATTTGGTAGGATTTCAGAACTGCATCACCTAATCTTTTATTTATTTATTTATTTTTTTGACAGGCAGAGTTAGACAGTGAGAGAGAGACAGAGAGAAAGGTCTTCCTTCCGTTGGTTCACCCCTCAAAGGGCCGCCATGGCCAGTGCGCTGCGCTGATCCGAAGCCGGGAGCCAGGTGCTTCCTCCTGGTCTCCCAAGCGGGTGGAGGCCTCAAGCACTTAGGCCATCCTCCACTGCCTTCCCGGTCCACAGCAGAGAGCTGAACTGGAAGAGGAGCAACCGGGACAGAACCGCTGCCCCAACCGGGACTAGAACCCAGGGTGCTGGCGCCACAGGTGGAGGATTAGCCTAGTGAGCCGTGGGGCTGGCCATGCATCACCTAATCTTAAATATTACTATATTATGGAAGTTCCAAAATTCTGACTATAAAAATCATATGTGGAGCTCCTCAGCATATTTATTTCTGGGATCTTGTGAATCATTTGTTCTGGATTGTAGCCCAGAAATTTTTTCCCCAACTTCTCAGGTGATTTTAATCATCAACTGCAACAACTACAATTAGTTGCATATGGTACAGAGCCATTCCCATTCCCATCTGCTCTTGCTAGCCTCCAGAATAGAGAATCCCTTTATAATTTCCTCTTACAGCTTTTCTTGCAACCCGGAGTAGCAATAATCTGAGGGGAACCTGCAGAGAGATTTTTGGAAAGATTTACTTCACTGACAAGTAGAAAGTCCTGCCTGAATATGGTTGTGATAAGACTTACCGTTTTAAAGGCTGTTTGTGTGCATTCTGCAAAAGAATTAAGGTTAGCTAGCTAGATGTTAAATCACTATCAATCACATGGTAGCAGTAATGATAATATCAGTTGTGTTGTGCTCTTGTAGATTCTAAGCATTTTGCATGTTAACATACTGCAACCTTTGTCAGCCTTATGGAAATGGAAACCACAGAGATTAACGAGTACCTATAAAGCTGGTTAGTGACAGAACCAGGGTTTAGATTCATGATATATTATGCTATCACTGCATCCCATGTCAAAGGCCTTTGTAAAGGTAAATTGAAAAAGCTGTAAGATGGAGGGCATTGCATGGCTGTTTATTTGGTGACTAAAAAGGCTGGAGGCCGGTGCTGCGGCTCAATAGGCTAATGCTCCGCCTAGCGGCACCGGCACACCAGGTTCTAGTCCTGGTCGGAGCGCCGGATTGTGTCCCGGTTGCCCCTCTTCCAGGCCATCTCTGCTGTGGCCTGGGAGTGCAGAGGAGGATGGCCCAAGTGCTTGGGCCTTGCACCCGCATGGGAGACCAGGAGAAGCACCTGGCTCCTGGCTTTGGATCAGCGCGGTGCGCCGGCTGCAGCGCACCAGCCGCAGCGGCCATTGGAGGGTGAACCAACAGTAAAAGGAAGACCTTTCTCTCTGTCACTCTCTCTCTCACTGTCCAATCTGCCTGTCAAAAAAATAAAAAATTTAAAAAAAAGGCTGGAAAAGTTAAGAGTCATGATAACAGTATTTACTCATCCAAGAAATAATCACTGAGCCACCTTTGTGTGTACTGCACTATTCAAAATACTTGGGGTACAACAATGAACAAAATGAAGGTCTATGGCCACAAGAAGCCACTTTTTATGGATGGAGGCAGACAGTAGGCAATAAACCCAAAAAGAGCTATCTAGTTAAAAGATCGAAAAGTACTATGGGATGATTAAGGCATGGTGGGATGATTGAGAGTCTGAAGGCATGTATAGGCTGGGGTAGGGGGGAACAAAAGGGTGGGGAAAAGGACATGGCTTTTGAAGAAGGTGTCTAGTGAGAAAATGGCATTTACACAAAACCCAGAAGGTTGAAAATGGAAAAGAATGTTCCAGATAGA